CTCTTCGTTTCCGAGGCATCTTGTGGAGGATTGTGAGGTAGCTGCTTGTCATCTCAACGAACTTTCCTACTCCAGTTTATGACTTTGTTTTTACTTGAAAGATAACTTCATTTTAGACTCGTATTTTTACTTCAATTCTAGTATTTACATTAGAGACTTGTGCACGTGACAACCAGGTTTTGGGGATTGAATTAAGTTGAATTGTTTTCGATTTAGTAAGTGTTATCAGACTTTGATTTTATTTCCGCATTTTATCAAAATTATTGAGTTAGGCTGACTTGTCTTGATGGATAAGAGGAGTGCCATCACACTCATTTTGGATCGTGACATAATATGAGTTTTATTAACGCATATTCGTGGGGCTTGTCCCTTGATCGGTATTGATAATTATAATTTTAATTACTTCTTTGTTGAAGAGCATTTAAATTTCTTTTCTTACACTTGTATAATATTATTATTCTCTAAGTTGCCAAGATCTCAAGTACGTATACTTAATTTTTTTTACTTCAGTTACATATATAAATCCAATTTTGTATCATTTTAATTTTTAAGAGTAAACAAGTTGGCACTCACCATGGAGTTGCTTAGACCTTTCATCTTCCTTTTTCTCTAGTTAAATATTTATGCAACACTATACAACTTGTTAGGTTGACAAATCTTCTTCTTTATTGGGTAATATGTTTTTTAAATGAAGACTTACAATTGTAATTTCTTTCTTTCTGAAATTAGTTTTGCTTATGAATTATAATGATATGAATTTGATCACATCTCTTACGCGTATATTATGAATAATATCATCTAGCTTGTTCGCTTGACAAAATTAATATATAATGTGTATCGGTCTTTCCTAAATTCAATATCAAACCGTGGAACAATAATTTAAATATTTTGTTTGAAATCTTAAAATAATGAATATAATTTTTCGTGACTATTATTATAATACCTTTGAGAATAAAATTTATTGGAAATAATTATATCCTTTATTACTAGCATATTAAGGCTATGATTTAGAAAAGGGCAATTAGATTAGAACATTAAATATTCACGTGATATGATTTTTCCTATATTTTCAGACTGCAATAATATACATACATAAATATATAGCAGCCCATTAATTAAGCCCCTTCGTAAAAGGAAAAAAGGCCCATTCTTAGTAAACTACCTATCAAGCACATCTAGCTAGGTTCATATTTTGAGAAAATTAGAGTCTAATACTTTTACAAAATATACATCATAGTAATATACATATATTCAGGTGATCCATATAGTTGACAAAGTAAGAAACTCATCTATTGTTGAAAATATAATTAATCTAAAGAATAAGGAATATCACATAACTTCACAAACTTAAAAGACACATGACAAATATTTATTATCTTCTTATATTTATATCTCATAGCATATTTCCAAGAAATGAGATCTTTTACTCTTTTATCATTTGAGTAGAAGAAAACAATTTCAATTAAAAGATAAATGGCATTTATTTACCAAAATTATTGAAAGATTGGCGTAAAATAAACCAATTTTGCCTTATTGGTACATTCAACCTAATATGTCTTCAAATTTCAGCTTAAGCAAATCAACTAAATGCATTGAAACCATGGCCGTCAAATCTGGAACTTAAAAATGTGAAATGTACATTGCATAAATTGTGTGAGGTTGAGAAGGACATGAAAATATCATTGAATCTCGATTCATTTTTAAAAAGAATGTATAATTGTAATTTTTCTCGATTATATTTTATCATAAACATCTTAATGAGCTTGAATATAAATTTTGAAGTTGCTTTTAATGCAGATTTGATTTGATTTAGGAATATCACATAACTTCACAAACTTAATTATTTCTGATTTTTCCCCTTAAAAATGGAGTTAAAACATCATAATAATGTGGGTATTTTCAGTGCTGAAACCTTAATGTGAATATATATACTTGAATAGATTCTATCAATTTGGACGCTCAACGGAAAGGGAAGACTCAAGTCTCGGAGTGATTATTCGAGTGGCTAAGGCAAGTGGATTTCTAAACCCTTGTTAAGCGTATGAAATTCGTGTATTTTCTTGTGTGGTGTTGATAATGATTTGGAGACTTGTTACTTATTTGTTGGTGTTGTATTCCTTGTTGTAAATTGTGCTTTGTTATCAAAATGGTTATTTCCTCATTTTTCATTTGAGCATGTCATTTGCATTGTATCTAAGACATGGTTGTGATAAGAGTTAAGTGATAAGACGATGTACCATTTCGAGGATCGTATTGCGCGCCGATGGATATTATATTTCAAGGGACGTATCGCGCGCCGCGACGATTACTATCATCGAGAGTCGTGTCGTGCGCCGCGACAGATGCATGGACAGATATGTCCCCAATAGGTCCTAGACCGAGAGACAGTGGGTGTGTATCGTTAGGGAAGACATGCATCGCTATACTTGACATTGCATCTCATGGCATTACACATTTTTATTATTGATGAACTTGAACACGTGTTTTCCTGATCTTGTGAGTGTTTCTGTAAAACTTGTGACTGTCGAATATTGAGTTGTTATTGAGAATATGTAAACTGATAGAGTGTGACTATTGTGTTGTGTGTTTGGTAAATTGTGAACTGGTAGGCTGTAGCGTGGAGGTTCGGGTAGGGTGTAAGGAATACCCGTATTTTGTTAATTTAACTTGTGTTTAGAGGTTTGGCTTGTTGGGTACCGTATGATTTGATACTCATTCCTTGCTTCTATAAATTTTTTGTAGGTTACGAGCCCGGGTCTTCGTGATACCTTCCATCCTCTTCGTTTTCGAGGCATATTGTGGAGGATTGTGAGGTAGTTGCTTGTCATCTCAGCGAACTTTCATATTCCAGTTTATGACTTTGTTTTTATTTGAAAGATAACTTCATTTTAGACTCGTATTTTCACTTCAATTCTATTATTTACATTAGAGGCTTGTGCACGTGATAACCAGGTTTTGGGGATTGAATTAAGTTGAATTATTTTCGTATTAGTAAGTGTTATCAGACTTTGGTTTTATTTCCGTATTTTATCAAAATTATTGAGTTAGGCTGACTAAACTTGATGAATAAAACGAGTTCCATCACACTCAATTTTGGATCGTGACATAATATGAGTTTTTTTAGCGCATATTCGTGGGGCTTGTCCCTTGATCGGTATTGATAATTATAATTTTAATTACTTTTTTGTTGAAGAGCATTATAATCTTATTATTCTCTAAGTTGCCAAGATCTCAAGTTCGTATACTTAATTTTTTTACTTTAGTTACATATCTAAATCCAATATTGTATCATTTTAATTTTTAAGAGTAAACAAGTTGGCACTCACCATGGAGTTGCTTAGACCTTTCATCTTCCTTTTTCTCTAGTTAAATTTTTATGCAGCGCTATACAACTTGTTAGGTTGACAAATCTTCTTTTTTATTGGGTAATATGTTTTTTAAATGAAGACTTAAAGATTGTAATTTCTTTCTTCTGAAATTAGTTTTGCTAATGAATTATAACGATATGAATTTGATCACATCTCTTACGCATATATTATGAATAATATCATTTAGTTTATTCACTTGACAAAATTAATATACATTGTGTATCGATCTTGCCTAAACTGAAGATCAAAACGTGGAACAAGAATTTAAATATTTCGTTTGAAATCATAAAATAATGAACATAACATTTCGTGACTATTATTATAATACCCTTTGAGAATATAATTTATTAGAAACAATTATATCCTTTATTACTAGCATATTAAGGCTATGATTTAGAAAAGGGCAATTAGATTAGAACATTAAATATTCACGTGATGTGATTTTTCCTATATTTTCAGACTGCAATAATATACATAAATATATAGCAGCCCATTAATTAAGCCCCTTCGTAAAAGGAAAAAAAGGCCCATTCTTAGTAAACTAGAAAACAATTTCAATTATAAGATAAATGGCATTTACTCACCAAAATTATTGAAAGATTGTCACATAATAGACCAATTTTGCCTTATTGGTACATTCAACCTAATATGTCTTCAAATTTCAGCTTAAGCAAATCAACTAAAGGCATTGAAACCATGGCCGTGAAATCTGGAACTTAAAAATGTGAATGTACATTGAATAAATTGTGTGAGGTTGAGAAGGACATGAAAATACCATTGAATCTCGATTCATTTTTTTTAAAAAATGTATAATTGTGATTTTCTCGATTATATTTTATCATAAACATCTTAATGAGCTAAAATATAAATTTTGAAGTTGCTTTTAATGCGAATATGATTTGATTTAGGATTAAAAAGCTTGAAAACACCTGGTCCGTGTCTGTCCTTTGTATATATCACCTTGTATCTCCTAATATATTATGTATTATCGATGAATTGAATATCCATGAAACTGTGTAAGATATACAATTATATACATACATAATATACATCGGCGAGATGATAATCTTTGAAATATGCATTATATTCTCTTAAAAGTAAATGTAGGCTAGACCACATGTCATGTAACGGTAATTCTGTAATTCATTGTTACCTCATTACTGATTGCACATGTAATATTCTTTAAAATGTATATTTATTAATGTTCACATGTCAGGTCAATATAATTTATGGATATGTCAATAAAAAGAAACCTATTATTAATTCAGTCTGTCCTGCTTTGTCTTGCATAAATTTTTTAATTCTTTTTCGAGATAAGTTTGATACTAAAAATAAAATTCATGAAATTAATTCATTTTTTCATTAATTTGTATTAATTTAATAGATAATTACATAATTTTTTTAAAAAAATTCATTGAGAAGCATGTAAGAAATTATTTAATTTTGATTGAACCATTTTATTTACTATTTTAAATATTTAATAACATTAAAAAACTATCTACATTAAAAAACTATCTTAATAGATAATGTTATATCACTTTTACAAAAATTATATAGACCCGCCCCACCCATTGGCATCGCTATTCTTTAAAGGTGCTAGACTAGGTGATATAATTGCCTGTGGGAGTAGATTAAAAAAAAGAAGTCATTAATTAATCACACATTGAACTTTTTACATATGCATCGAATGTTTTTATTTATTTATTTATTATAAGTGCCATACAAGCATTATAGTGTTATTTGCTTATAAAAGGAGAGATGAACTCATAGTCTCATAGCACTTGTTAAGTCTAATCATAAGCATTTTCTCTAAAATACTCTTCCTTTTATTCTCAATACTTTAAAGACGAACAAGTTGTTGCTCATAACATGTACTAAAACTTCAATACCTAACTGTTTTTTTTTCCGATTTATAATAACATATTAGTAACTGATTTTCTTCAATTGTTCTCGTTTTAAATTTTTACTTGTTTTTGTTTGTTGTAGGACGAAAATATTTCTGTTGATTTTTCTAGTACTGCTTTATTGTACAAGTCATGTTGTTGGCGCGAAAGATGATTTGTATGTTAATATAACAATTCTTGAAAGTGCAACTGCCCAAGGCGCGGGTATGTTAATACATAAATATATAATCTTAATTTCTTCAAAGAATAATAATCAGATATGGATTTGTTTTTTGCACAGTATGTCTTGATGGAAGTCCACCAGCCTATCATCTTCATAGAGGACATGGTACTGGACTTGGCAGCTGGATTATCTACTTGGATGTTAGTTACTTCGACTGCTTAATTTATGAATTTTTATATCTAACACAAATTATTTAGCTTGGAGAAATAATTCATTCATATTTATAGGGAGGCGGTTGGTGTGACAGTATCACAGCTTGCCTAAATCGTTCAACGACCAACTTAGGTTCTACCAAACATATGGGAAAAGAGGGTTTTTTTGACGGAATACTCCATAATACTTCCATAAGAAATCCAGGTGATCAATATAATGCATATCTTGTTATTGATTGTACGCGTGTTTGAAGTTTTAACTCTAATACATTGTTTGGTAGAGTTTCACAATTGGAACAGAGTGAGGATAAAATATTGTGACGGTTCATCATTTACGGGTGATGTTGAACAAGTTGACCCCGTAAGAAATTAAATACTAGTATTACGATACATATATATATGCATCTCTCTAGTCAATTGATCAAATGTGAATCATTATTATTAGGAGAACAAATTATATTTTAGAGGGGCAAGAATATTTAAGGCTATTATGGAAGATTTGTGGAGCAAAGGATTGGAAAGTGCTGAAAATGTGAGAATATACTGTACTTTTAGTGCTTTACGAAAAAAAATTGGAGTATCTTGTTTGCTAAATCTCTACTAATATAATGACAGGCAATTCTATCGGGAATATCAGCAGGTGGTTTGGCAACCATCTTAAATTGCGATAAATTTAAATGCCTTCTTCCAGAAAATGCCAGAGTTGGGTGTGTTGCGGATGCTGGCTTCTTCATCTATGGGTTAGTCCTTCTCAAGAAGATTAATGATACACAATATCTTAACTTAATTAGCGTCTAATTCACTATTTATGCAGAAGGACAATAGATGATACTTCATATATCCAAGAGATGTATCATAAAATTGTTAACCTACACGTGAGTTATATTTGCTTTTTAACATAATTTTGGTTAAGAATAAGAGCTATAAGTTGAGTCTTTTCCTCTTCTGTTTTAAGGGATTGCTAAGAATTTACCATCAGCCTGCACATCTGTAATGGAGCCAAGTCTAGTAAGCTCCGAAAACAAAAACAATTTCTTTAATTAATTATAGTATGACATTACGGTTACTAATTGATGATATATGGTGCAGTATTTTTTTCCTCAGAATATGGTTTCATATGTTCAAACTCCACTTTTCATAATCAACTCAGTTTATGATTCTTGACAGGTGAAAAGAGACAAATGCTACTATTTCTCTGAATTTTATTTACTACACATAATTCTGATTATTCAAACACACAGATGAAAAACATATTGGTTCCTCCACACGTTGATCCCCAACATGTTTGGGAGGATTGCTTGAACAATACAAAGACATGCACGTCTAGCCAACATATAGCTATTCAAGGTTATAGTAATTAAATAATGTATACAACGTTACACATCTCTTCTTTGAAATTGAATTTATATGTTTTTTTAATGTATAGCCTTTGGAGTTGAGTTCTTGAAGACATTTGAGGGACTTCCCCCTTGTTTTACGAGGGGTTATTTCCTCACGTCTTGCTATTCTCATGGGGGAATACTTGCACCACCATACTGGTTCAGTTCTACCTCTCCTAGATTACTTAATAAGGTAATTAATTTGTTTTATCCATATAAAGTTACATTTTTTTTTATCATAACAAATTTTAATTTCTTTGTTATGTTAATTTATGTAGACAATTGGTGAAACCGTTGCAGATTGGTACTTTGAGAGAACAAGGTTTCAATGTATAGATCCGTACCCTTGTGTTAAAGTTTGCAAAGACTTAAATAATCACTGAGATGTTGGGAGCCCTCTTTTTTATATAAAATTCGCACATAACTTAATTTCATGCGCATCCTTGGTGAATTATTATTACTTGTGAATTAAGACAATAAATTAGAAAATCAATTAGATTAAAAAATTAAATAAATATAAACTTATTTTCATTGATGAGAAAATAACGAAGATGCATCACATATTTTTTATTATGAGATATAAATTATCATGGTGATGTGAAATTACAAATGTAAAATTCATTTTTAAGTAAAATGGTAAGAAGGGCATTCTATAATAGGTTGTAGAAAGGGTGTTTTGTCATCCGCCTCATCATACGAATCCTTAATGCTACAATGGGAGAGTCCTTCTTTACACATTCGTTCGGTTTCTGCAGTAGGCACATCATCATTTTCAGTTTCCCAATTTTCAATGCACAAACAATAACAAGCTCTTTCTATTAGCATCAGGATATGTTTTTTTACATATACAATTGACCGATGTCATAGATAATATCAAGCAAAATACACAAATATACTTCAATTTAATCATCTCATCACCAACTATCATTTTTTCATACACAATTAACTAAGGATTGAAAAAATCTCATATATATATATAGATGAATCATTTGTTTGGTCCTCTTCGCTCAATGGTTTCAAAAGTGACATGCATGAATGAGCGGACAATAAATGACTTCTCATATTAATTAATGAAACTTCATTAATTGTTTTTTTAAACGATATTATTACGTAAAAAGAGCTCAATTCATATGAATATATGAGCTTTTTTAGCCTTTAATATGGAAATTCATGAAATAAATATTTGTTTACTCATAACGTACATGTCTAAATTCTATTAATTGTTTTCTCTATTTATGCCCTAGATAAATTTGTCTTCAAGAAAATATCAGCTTAATTAACAAAATATTGTTGTGCTATCAAGATATATACAGGGTTCGCAAAAAATATTTAAAATATTTCAAAAAAAATTCCAACTGATCATGTCATTATATAGATTTGGTATCATCAGAAATGTTTCAGTTTCACTATTGCTTTTGTTTTCATACCCCAACTCCCTAAGGTTGTTAGTTTTGTAGTTTGGAATACAAATATTCACTTTTTACGACTATTTGTGTTAAAAGAGAAAAATATCGTAGAAAAATTACTTCAATCGGATCATTTTAACTATGTGTAAATATAATTATTTATCTTTACATAATTATAAATATACACAAGAATGACTCGTAACAAGATGATGGCGTTGAAGCATATTTGCGTCTTCGTATTATTTATGACATTAGTAAATTGTAACACATATCCTCCAAGAATAAAAAGTATTTGTCTTCATGTCTGCATTAATTTTTCAAAATATAATAATTTTAAAAAGATTAATCGTATGCGTCAACCAAAATTAGAAGAAATATATATGTAAAAAAAGAAGTACCAAGATTTGGGTGTGATCTCAAGTAGAAAATATGATGGGGTTATATTAGTGGGTGATCCCTAAGTAATTTAAATAGTATTTTTTTTATTAATAAAAATAAAGATTCCTATAATATTGCAGTATCTTGAATCTATAGCCAATATATATTCATAAGACCATAACTAAGTATTTTAAATCAAGGAACCTAAGTAATTCAATTTATTAACTATTTGAACTTTCACTTTATTGATAAAAAATTAGATTCAAGTATTTTAAATATTTTTTTTATGAATTCTTTATCCATATCTATTATGAAAAATAGATATTTTTTCAAGAGATAATTATATAGAGTGACAAATTAATAAGATAAAATAAATATAGTAGCTACCGTTTGATTTATTTGTGTTTCATAGCGAACTGTTTGTCAGACCCTCTCTCCCTCATATTCTCGCTCGTCTTTCTCCCTCTCTCGCTGGCTTCGTATCGCTCCCCTCTCTCGCTTTATACAATAGAATTGTATAAATTGTGTTTCTAATCGTATAAATTGAGAGAAAATTGTATATACACATGCAAATACATATATTTTTATCCTATACACTTATAATTATACAATAAAAGTACTCCCTTGCCCAAGTCTCTTTTGCCTTTCTCTCTTTCTCGTTTTATACAAATTCAAATTGTATATAATTTCTCTCTTTCTCGTTTTATACAATTCGATTCAATTGTATATTCTCTGCCTAAGTCTCTTTTGCCTTTATCTCTTTCTCATTTTATACAAATTCAAATTGTATATAATCGTCCTATATACTTATATTATACACTTCTCTGCCCAAGTCTCTTTTTCTTTCTCGTTTTATACACTTCGTTTTATATAATTCACTTTAATTGTATATGTATAGTGGATTATACATATATATGTTTGTTATTAAGCATAATTATGCAAACTTTGTTAGATCATACAAATATAAATTTTATGTTTGTTATATATGAAAGTTAACCGTTTTTTAATTCAAAAGATGTATCTTTGAGAAAATCGTTTATTTTTCTATTGGATTATAACTAGTCTAAGTAATTTTTATGATTTCGAATATGTGGCCATTGATTCTTATATGGGATTAAATTTTGACTACATTTAAGTTTTTAAGAAATGATAAATGTGCACGACATTTTATAAATAAACAAAAACTAAATATGATAAAATTCAAAGGTAGTTTTAAACATTTTCCTTTTCACACCTCATTACAGTGAGCTTATTGTATAATAATTTATTTAAGCTAAAAATAGAAAGTAAATATTTAACAATAAAATTTATTTTGTGATGTCTTTATCACGTTTATATAGTTTTAATTTTAATTTCCGTAGTTTTAGGTAAATCCCCAAATAAAAAATTCTAAGGTAAATTCCATAGAAAACAATTCCAGCTGCGGAAATGAAAATTTTCCGTAATTAATTTTCAAGTATGCATATTCCCAAGTAAATTCCAAAGGCAACTCCAGCTAAATTATAACAAAATATATTTTTTCCAGTAATTATCTAGGCAAGAAAATTCTAAGTAAATTATCAAGAAAAAATCTCTAACAAAATTTGTAAAACGTAATTTCCATGTAGTACCACAGATAAAAATTAATATCGTCGAGTAAGTATCCCTAGCTAAATCTTCAAGTAAGTTTTTGAGGAATTTCTCGCAAATTAACAAAAATAAATTAATTTTATTGATTACTTAAAAATTTACCTATGAAAATGATGCTTATAAATTAGTATCCCCAAATAATTTCTAGGCCGTGCATAAAATGATGCCAAATTTTGGAGGAATATTTTTCTCTTGTACAAAGTTCTAGAATTAATAAAGTTCATGTTTTTGCATGAAAAATTCATGGGGAAATTATGCCGAAAAAGATTTCTTGTAAAATCTCTAAGTAATTTATATTTTTCTTATAGTTAATCAAATTTGACAAATAATCGAATGAGATGAAACACGTGGAGTTCATAATAGGTCAAACGGGAGATAAAAATTGATCTTGAAATGAAGCCAAATATCTAATCATTATAAAAAATATTGAGATCTTCGTCAAATGTTACTCAACTATAATAATGTGATTTTAGTGACTAATAATATGAGTTTTATTAGTACATATTCGTGGTGCTTGTCCCTCGATATGTAGCCATAAACAAATATGATTTTACTTACTTTTTGTTGAAGAGCTAGCATTTAAGCTCATAAGTACATAATTGTTTATTTTAATTACATATATACATTCAATCGTATACTATGCGTCCACTTTTATTTGTCATGTTGTGCTTTTTAAAAGTCAATTTGATTAATGTTAAAGTTAAATTTAATTATATTAATTTGATAATTTTTTAAAAAAATAGATATTCAAAAATTGTATGAAAAGCACTATAAATTGAAATTTTTTGCATATTTATATGATGAAAAATCACATTATAAAATATCGTTTGACTCTAAAAAAGAAAACCATGACAATTAAAGGTGAACTGAGGAGTATCATTTTGAGAGTAAACAAGTTAGCATTCACCATGTAGTAGCTTAGACCTTGCATCTTCTTTATTTTTTTTCTAAATTTTACGCATAATGATGCAACATTTTAACTTGACAAATCCTTCCTTTTAATTGGATAATACATTTTTTTAATTTAAATGAAGATTTACTATTAAATTTATTTTGCTTATGATATAAATTTGTCACATCTCTTACCCATATATTATGAGTAATATCTCCTAATTGTTCGCTTGAGAAAATTAATATACTTTGTGTAACGATTTTACCTAAACTCAAGATCAAAACATGACATATCATGAGCAAGAATTAATATTTCGTTTGAAATCTTAAAATAATGAATATAATATAAATTCTGTGACTACTATAATATTACCATTTGAAATTTTATTAGAAATATGAGTGTATGCTTTGTTACTAGCTAGCATATATTAAGGCCATAAATTAGAAAATCAATTAGATTAGAACATTAATTAAATAAATGTGTTAATTTATTTTCATGATAAAATAACAAAGATTCATTGCATTTTTTTTATTGTGAGATATAAATAAATATGATGGTGATGTGAAATTTTACATGTTTTATCGAAAAAATTGATTTCGAAAAGAGCTTGTTTTATTAAAGGGTATTTTCGACTTTTGGGATTCGCCACTTAATTTTTTAAGAAAAATAAAGAAAACTTATTTTTTCAAAACAACTAAACAGAAAATAATCGTTTTGAAAACTTTAAGGGGGTTCGGGATTCATATTAGTGTCTTAGGAAGGTGTTTAAGGCACCTAAGAAACTCCGTTAATACGGTTTTCCAACGATTAACTTATTTGACTATTTTTGTTAACTTTTGCAATTTTGAACTTAGATTTCTCAAATATAAACAAGCTTACAAAACATTGTTGTTTTAAGATTCCATTTAAAGTTAAACCTCTTAAAACTTTTAACTCTAAGCAAACTAGTGAATTTGAAACGTCTATCGCTTTAAAATTCAGTTTTGAGTTTTAAGTTTGATAAAATAGAAAGACATTTCGACGGGGTTTGGAGTTATTCTAACCCTAAACTAAAGGCATTCAAAACAAAACATAAACAAGTAGTAAAGAGAGAGAGAGAGATTTGGGGCCAAATTCGGGTTCTGTTCGCCTTAACCGAATTTTGGA